CACAAACACGTACGCGTACGTGTGTGTGTGCAACGACACGTATATATAAATCCAAAATTTAAAAATTAATCAGTTTGTCTAAAAATCGCAAATAGCCTGACTGAAAACCCAGGTTCCCAAACTCATCGATCCAACTATATATATATATATATATATATATATATATATATATATATATATATATATATATTGTGTTTATCTTGGCACCATGTTTTTATGTAACGTTAAATAAATTAGACACGTTTTTCCTACTTATTTTTAATAGGATCCTTTCGTAATTACGGACAAGTTTCTTATTATCCTTATTAATGGAAGAAAGAAAATTACAATGTTGATGCATATTCAATTTATTCTGAGTACTTTCGACATTAGCACAATGTCATCATCAGGGTCTTTTTTTTTTTTTTTTTAAAGAAAACGTGTTGTGTTCCTCATTTTTCTACATGATAAAATTTAAAAATTATAAAGTGCATAATCTTAGCGTTTTTCACTTCACAAAATAATAATTTTCAAACGAGCATCAACCCTTTGCGGGAGATGAATTACGGTCCTGCCAAAAAACAAAAAACAAAGGCACGCCTATGATGATGTGCTTCGTCAGTGCTACATGCGGTTTTCAATTCAGAGTTCTCCTTCTTCTATACAGGTTGTCAATCACGCCTAGAGGGCAGGGGCTTGTTTACTATTTAACCCATACCTGGGTCTTCTGGAGATGGGTTCTTACCTTTTCCAAGGTTATTTGTGCTAAGGTGAATGTAACGAATTTGAACGAAATTCGAACTCGACTCACTCACTTTAGGTTCCAGACAGTCAACCATTACACCTGCACATCCCATATTTTCTTTATTTTTTTAAATCATTTCACCCCAAGCAAGGCGGTAATGTTACAGGGAGTTAACGTGAAAGAGAAGACTGAGAATAGGGAGGATTGAGAAAAAAACAAAAGATGGCGATTACCCTTGCATTTAAACATTTTGAAGATTGTAGTTACCTGGGAAGCAAGGGAACGGAAGGGATTTCCACAGGTGAGAAAAATAAATTGTTGGTGTATAAGTGACGGTTGCATCTAGATAGTTCAACAATAAAATGTGGGACCTAAACGCCAATCTAGTAGTACGCTTAGATTCATGCATTCGGGTCACCAGGGAAAAAAGCTCGTCAGTGCACTTGCCTTGAAAATGTTTATAGAAAAGACTATTGGAATCGATATGCTATTATTACGTTACAGATCCTTTTTGCATTTTGTAAAAAAATTATTGACGTACAGCAGGAACACCAGACCAGATATGGCAACAGTATCCAGTGCACAGACGAATGGTAGATTTGTAGATGATGTAAATGTGATAACATGGCGACATATGATAAACAACAAAGACGCAATAAAACTGAATCAGTGTATAAGTGTAGAAACATTTCATCTGATCTGTTCAAGCGTAAAGAAGGTTGGAGAGTTTACCGGCTGAAGTATTGTGATGAAGACAACTGGTCTGAGTTAATCAATGTATAACAGCAGCAATGTCTCCACTCAGAAAGTTAGACGAGAAAACGAATACGTTTTTAGGTATTTATAGCAAGAAGATATAATCATATACAAAAAAACATTAAAAACTGAAAGTGAAAGTGAAAGTAAAAGTCTGTTATCGGTATTTAGTAAGTCATAGCTCAATAATGTCGACATATATGAAACTCCCTGTGGACATAAAAGCAACCAGGATAGGAATAATCTATTTGTCTAGCGTGTTAACCATAGCGCCAGTTCGTGGCAGCGGAAAAGTAGGTTATCAATGCAATAAATAGTAGTCTATAGTAACAATCGGAATAATGATATGTCCATCAAAATCGGTGGAGATATTGTTTCGGATCAGAATCGAAAGAAATTTGCAGAATGAATAAGAACACTATCAATGACAACATGAGCAAGGATAAAAATGAAGAAAAAATACTGAGCAGCAATAAAGCTCTAATCGCAAAACAATGCTGTTTCTTATAATGGCTTAAAGAAAGTGTACTGCAGAAATAAAAGGCAACCAACAAAGTTGACAGGCACATATCCCTGGGAGACTGGATTAAGCACACTTAACAGATGCGTCGTCACATAGGCACGCATCAACTTAGAACGGGCTTTCTTACATAGGGGTAAATAAATATGTACAATGGGGAATTGAGACACGTTTAGTCAGATTTGACTGCTTGGATGACAACAGCCAAGATCTACATAGAATGTTTTTTCTATGTTTTTTTTATTTCGATTTTCTGATAGAGATTAGAAATCTATCCATCAGAGTCTATCTATCTATCTATCTATCTATCTATCTATCTATCTATCTATCTATCTATCTATCTATCTATCTATCTCCTTATTTCAGTCTCATCATTATTATCTATCTATCTATCTATCTATCTATCTATCTATCTATGTGAGTCTATCTATCTATCTATCTATCTATCTATTTCAATCTCTTCATATCTATTTATTTATCTATGTCAAAATGTGTTCATTATCAATTTATCAATCTATCTTTGTCTGCTTCCATCTATGTCAGGTAATATCTCTCTCTCACGTATTCATTATCTATCTATCTATCTATCTATCTATCTATCTATCTGAGTCTTTTCACACATATCTATCTATCTATCGATCGATCGATCTACGTGTGTATGTGTGCGTGTCTGACCCTATCTAACTGTCTGTTAGATAATATATACATATATTATAGTCTGTTCACATATATTATCACCTCTTCATTAACTATCTACCACATAGATAGATAGATAGATAGATAGATAGTGTCATACCGGAACATAGCTTTTCTATTGTTAATAGACTCTCCCACAGATAATAAGTAGTAGTAGTAGTAGCGGTCGCCACTGGGCTCAGTGGAGTTGAGTGAGTCAGTCGATGTCGGACATTAAAGTATCAACCACCACAACTAGATTGCTGCGTCATTAACTATTATTTTCAAGTTCCTAACGTTTTGTATGTCGAACCTATTTTAGAACCGACATAGTGAAATACAAGCCTCCACTGTGAAAACTACTATACAACAGATAGATAGATAGATAGATAGATAGATAGATAGATAGATGTGAACAGGCTCTGACAGATAGATAAGGAAGAGACTGAAATAAGTAGATAGATAGATAGATAGATAAGGAAGAGACTGAAATAATTAGATAGATAGATAGATAGATAGATAGATAGATAGATAGATAGATAATGAAAAGAAGATATATAATCATAATATTTTCATTATCAATCTATGTCTGATCCTACTATGTCAGATAACTATCTATCTATCTATCTATCTATCTATCTATCTATCTATCTGTTCATTATCTATCAATCTACCTACCTAAGTCTATCTCAGTCATTTCATTATTTATCTATCTATGGAAGAATGTGGTATATAAATTTCTAAATTCATTTCAAATGAATAACAAAATGGAAAATGTTTTGTGCAACGCAGAAGAATATCATCGGGCTAAAGTACGTGTTTGTTGCTAGAATTATGCAAATTCTGGTGGCTATGAAAATTCAAGGGTCGGTTCTAATAATGTCTCCTTAGTAAACGCTGAAGATGTTGGAAGGCTGAAATTTTAATTGTTTAAATTTAATTTTTATTTGCGGCTTCTCAATCCTTTGTGAAGTCGAAATATATTTTTGGGATTTTAAGGCTGATATATTCGAATAAATATTGAAATAAAAATCTTCTTTAGAGGTAAGAGTGATAGTTTCAGATAAAATGCCTTATTTCTATATTTCTGAGATGAGGTATTGTTATTATTTATATTATTTACATCGCTCGGACTGTTCTCCTCATCTATATTGACATATTTACGACGTTTCAGCTGAAGATCCTGAAGAAGACCGGCGTGTACAAACACGCCGGTCTTCTTCAGGATCTTCTATATTTCTGAGATGAGGTATTGTAATTATTTACATTATTTACATTGATCGGAATATTCTCCTCATCTGTATTGCCATATTCACGACGTTTCGGCCGTTTTTCTTTTCAGCCATCTTCAAGATCTACCTATATTTCTGAGATGAGGTATTGTAATTATTTACATTGTTCGGACTGTTGTCCTCATCTTTATTGCCATATTCATGACGTGAATATATATATATAGACTGGCCTGGAATCATTCCTGATGTAAATCCAATTGAGAATCTGTGGTCAATCTGCAAGGAGAGACTTCGTGGAATGGACATACGAAGTTCTAATTTGTGCACTGGGTCATGTTTCATTGGAAAAATACGAAAAAAAAAAGTAAATAATAACAGAATTATTTGTTTTGTTTCAATTAATTTGCAGAAGTGTTGAGGGGTCCACACCTTTTTATACAAATGGACTCAGTGTATACTTATACTACTTCTAGTGAATACGAGTGTCGAGTCGAGTCCAGAGTGACAGAGTAAAAGGTTGTAGGTAACCGGAAGAGTGAGGGGTGAGGTACCAGCGTTGTAGGAGTCACAGTGAGCGAGCACGTAGACTCAGTAAAAAGTCATACAGCGATACTTCAATACCAAAGACTGTATATATATATTTTGCTACTAACCCGTATTCCTGGAACTACTAACTTGCATTAACAGTTTGTATTATTACGTTAATACATTATTTTCATATATTCATTCCTGGCGTTTGTTACTTATTGGTATCGGATTTCAAACCGGAATCCACAGAAGGGGGTAGATAAAGGCACCTCATCGTATTGTGAAGTTTTGCGGAACTGTCTAGCATGCCCACTATTTCGCGAATTCGATCCTCACTAGGTGCCATAAATTTGTTATCTTTCGCCAAAATTATCGACGATTATTAATACTTAAGTAGACATCGTCGAGCGGTAATGCTTAACGAGCTATAATCTTAGAACTTGACTAAATGTTTAATAAGTTCGACCCTTAGCTACAATTACGATTATAAGTAGGCCTCGAGTTGTTGTAATGGTTAACTAATTTCATAGACCATCCTTACTTTTGTGACATGTCTCTTCACAGCTTACGGCCATGTCACGTTGAAGCACTAGTTCTCGTATGATCACCGAAGTTAAGCAACGTCGATTCTGGTCAGTACTTAGATGGTTGGTCCTTTGGGGATGCCAGATGTTGTAAGTTTGGATGAACGGGTGATGTAATGATTGATGGTTCAAAACTGGGAATCGGAAAGCCGTGTTCCAATTCCAGTCGGGTTTGTTATATTCACTTATGCGCAAATACCCATGGGAAAAGGCATGAATCCACCTTTTCCCTCTCTCGGCTATGGGTTAATTAGTAAGACTTGTATCACTAAAACTAGTATTAATTACATTACCAAGCAGTCACCCATTTAAGTACTGATCAGGCTGAATGCTGCTTAACTTCAGTGATCAAATAAGAATTGTTGCTTTCAGCATCATCTGACAGTAACTCTAAGTCTACTTTTTTAAAAGTAATTTTACCCCAAACAAGGCGGGAAGCCACTAGCACGCAAGGGGTTACAGAGAGTTGGAGCGAGAGCAAAGAGGAGTGATAGAGGAAAGGATGACGAGAAGGATAGGGGATAGATCAAGGTATCTGGAGACGTCGATTGACATTATATTTGAATAGTTGGAGATTATAGCTACCAGGGAAACAGGAAAAGGTGAGGGAGTTCCACAGGAGAGAGGTGCTAGACATGAAGCTATTGGAGTAGAAGAGACGGCTACATTAAACAGCTTCGACGGTGAATAGCTGTAAGCGAGATGCCAGCCTAGTAGAACGCTTAAATTCATGAAGTCTGGGAACCAGCGAAAGCAGCTCATCGGAGCAGTTACCATGAAAGTATTTGTAAAAAAGACAGAGGGAGGCGATGGCACGTCTGTGAGAGAGCGACTGCAAACGAGATGCCAGATCAGGGTCAATTACATTGCATATCCGTCTTTGGATTTTATCGAGGACCATGAGACAAACAGAAGGGGCTCCAGACCATATATACTCATGTATACTCCATGCAAGGGCGAATGGTTGATTTGTAGATTTGAAGGATCGATTCCGGGGAGAAAAGTTTCCTGGTGCGGTACAGGGAGCCAACTTTCCTTGCGGTGGACGAAGCAATTGACTCAATGTATTTGTTCCATCTCAGGTCAGCAGACAATGTGAGACCGAGCAGTCACAAAGAGGTGCTCTCGTGGAGTTGAGCTTCAAACATTATAATGGGAAGCAGGGAGTATTCTCTCTGGTGAGTAATAGCGAGCAGTTTTGTTTTTGAGGCATTAAAGTTAACCAGCCAATACCTGCCCCAGTCCACAGCCGATTGGAGGTCCTTTTCAAGACAAGCGGGCAGGTTAGTTTTGTCGGCGACACTAGATTTGTTTTTGAGGCAGGAGTCAATAGTAGTGTCATCCATATAGATGCCTACTTGGGAACCTATGACATCTGGAAGATCGTTAATGAAGATAAGGAACAGAGTAGGGCCTAGGATAGAGCCTTGTTTTCTCAGGACGCAGGCAGTGATGGCTCTCCACTATTTTCTGTCTTTTTGTTATCTCTCCTATACCTTGTACTGCCACCCATTTACTCAAGTTCACAATGTTATATATTGTTTTCCTCTACCCCCTGCCTTCAGTCCTTCTTGTGAGCATCAGATTTTCCGTACCCTCTTTCCTCATTATGTGGCCTAGAAATTTCAACTATCTCTTCTTGATGTTAATTATAGCTTATATTCTACCTTCTTTTTTTTCTGTTTATCTCCAAAAATTATTCTTACAGTGCAGAAATATATTTTTGGCTTTAAATAACCCGCAATAGCTAATAAGCTGTAAAAACAAATCAATCAATTCATCATCTTTCAGAACTTCGATCCATTCTTTTTCTTTCAGCATTTCTTTTATTCGTGTCCTTAAGTTTATGTTTCTGGTCACCCTCCGCCTGTGAAATGGGATTGGATTGTGGTTTCTCATATTTGGTCTGCTTCAGAAAGGATCCACCGAAAGAATTGATAGTGAAAGTGAAAGTGAAAGTAGGGAAGCGTGAAAGAAAGAAGAACGAAGTAAATGCAAATAAAACTGAAAGTTTATTTACAAAGACTAACGGAACATAGAAAGAAGAATATTTGGGGAAAGGAAGTGGAGGGAAGAGTACGGCCGTATTAACTATGATAATAAAGTAAAAGTAAGAAAATGTCAAGAGTTAGGAAAGTAAGAAAAAGAAAGAAGCAATGTAGAAAAAATAAGAATGGGGAAAGAAAGAACAAAGCAAGAAAAACTGGGAAAAAATAAAGAAAAAAGAAAGAAACAAACAAATAAGAAAAAAAGAAAAGGAAAAAGAAATGAAATAAACAAGAAAGATGCTAGAAAGCTCGAATAAAGATAAAGAAATGAAAAATAAAGAAGCAAAACGAAAAAGAAAGAATTGAAAAAAAGAATGGAATAAAAGAATGAAATAAAAGAATAAGATAAAAGAAAGAAATAAAAGAATAAGATAAAAGAATGGAATGAAAGAATGGAATAAAAGAATGGAATGAAAGAATGAAATGAAATAATGAAATAAAATAATGGAATAAAAGATTGGAATAAAAGAATAAGATAAAAGAACGGAATGAAAGAATGAAATAAAAGAATGGAATGAAAGAATGAAATGAAATAATGAAATAAAATAATGGAATAAAAGATTGGAATAAAAGAATAAGATAAAAGAACGGAATGAAAGAATGAAATAAAAGAATGGAATGAAAGAATGGAATAAAAGAATGAAATGAAATAATGAAATAAAAGAATGAAATAAAAGAATAGAATAAAAGAATGGAATAAAAGAATAAGATAAAAGAATGAAATAAAAGAATGAAATAAAAGAATGGAATAAAAGAATAAGATAAAAGAATGGAATGAAAGAATGAAATAAAAGAATTGAATCAAAAAAGAAATAAAAGAATGAAATAAAATGTTTTGATGCCGGTTGTAATTTATCGTCATACCCAGAACTCAACTCTCAAAATATCTGTTTCACCACTGCTGTTGCCTGATATTTAACTCACAACTCTTTGTCCCTAGATCTAATGAACGTCTTTAACCACTCGGTCATGAAGACTTTCGTCAGATCTAAGTGACTAGATCCATATAGTTTTGTGTTCAATACCCGGCCAATGCAGTGGTGAACCAAATAATTTGAGCGTTGAATTAAAGGTAAATGACTAAGACTTCTGGAAGAGGCATAGCCCGTGGAACTAGAACAATCTACCCTGGTTGACGAAATAAAAGGTTCGGTTCAAAATTCCAATCAACTGAAGACGGCCGGAGCGTACAACGACTGAAACGTTGTGAATATGGCAATGAAGATGAGGATAACAGTCCGAGTAATGTAAATAATCATAATATATCAAAGATACAGACAGGTAACGATTGCTATTGAAATAGTTTTGAAGACCATTGACGGGAACTGTAAGTGAGAAAAGAACGATTTGAAATTTGAGTTTTCTTGCTGCTGATACAGTGCAAACATGGCCGCTCCGATAGCAGTGTGCACCAAGCAGGAACAAAGAACAGTGGCCCGGTTTCTCTTGTCGGAAGGTGTGTTAGGGGCTGAAATTCATTATATGCCTTTAACACAATACCTTGACATTGCACTACAGTTTAGAAGTGGGCAGGAGTGGATCGAGAAGCCTGACGCACCATGAAGGAGCAGAACGGCCTTCAAACTCCACTACTGACGATAAGATTCAATTCTCGAGAGATGTTAATGGCGAACTGGCGGGTTCTCATTGATGCGGTAAAAGATTCTTTGCAGATTCGGATCATTGTTCTTTGTTCCTTCTTAGTGCACACTGCTAGCGACGCGGTCACGTTTGCACTGTAATAGCAGTAAAAAGTAGTTCGATCTCATGACCACCAATAGTACCAACTGCGCGCATGTGCAGAAGGGAGTTTGACAAATATATGTTATGGCGAAACTGCTGATAACGTTTGACTTACCCTCATATATATATTGTTTTCACTGTAGTCCAATCAAGGCTCCTTCCCTGTTACTGTATACCACTTAATTGAAAAATTTGCTCTCGAGTTATTGTCATAAAGTATCCTGAAAAAAAAAAACACTGACCATCTCTTTGTTACTTTAACTAAAAGTTTTCACAAATTTTATCAGCTGTCCAAATTAATTGAAACAACACGAATAATTCCGTTATTATTTAATTTTTTTACGTATTTTTCCAATGAATCATGACCCAATGCACATGTTAGTACTTCGTAACTTCATTCCGCGAAATCATTCCTTGCAGACTGACCACAGATTCTCGATTGGATCTAAATCTGGAGAGTTTCCGGACTATAGTCTATAGTTCTTTGATTTGCTCACTGGTAAGGTTTGCCAGTGTGTCCGTGCAGCGTTACAATTTTCATACGGCTCTCTGGATTAAAGTCCATCGCAGACAATGGTCGTAGGACAACTAATCGACAGTTTAGACAATAGTGTCTAGGCGTGATGAAAATCTGATGCAGTCATGGATGACTCAATATTTTTCAAGTCCAAACAAATTTCATCATACACACCGAAAATAGATTCATATTACTGCACACCACTGCAAATGACCTAATCTGAGGAAAAAATCAATATCAATTATACCGTCACTCCAGTGAGTCCAAAACTGACCGTACGGTGAAAGAAAGGAAACTAAAGCGGTTGTTTAAATATATTTGTATATGGTAGGTTTAATATAATTTAGTATAATTATAGGTTCAACAATATCTGCAGTAATATAAGTAATAAAAGTAATAATAGTAGTATTATATTTCTGACCAGATTTTGAAACCAAAGTTTCTATGTCGTCTACAGAACGATCAAGAAAATGCCATTTACAAGCTATTTCTCCATTCTATTTTTTTCTTCATTCTTGCCAAATCTTCGTTCTAATCTTTACTTGCGTAATATTTTCTAGCAAAGGACACTATCTGTTCAAGACAATTCTTTAACCATTTTTTTTTCTTTTTACTTATATTTCGCATCCCCGTTTTTCTTTTTTATAAATGAATAAAGAAAAGAAATAATTCTCTAATCAGTTAACATCTCTGTATATTCAAAGGAAACCGTTATTTACTCAGATTCGCATTTTCAGCATTTCTTTGAAAAAAAAAAAAAAAGAAAAGAAAAAGAAGATACTGTAAGAAAAACTCAGGATTAGACTCTAAGTTGAAATGTTGATCAAGAACGGGAAGGCCCAAAAACTCTCTCGAGACAAAATGAAAAAAAAAAAAAAACAGGATAAATATATAAAAAATAAGGAGGAAACCAAAAGAAAAAAAGGATTTATGATAGAGAACTGAAATATTTACTTAGAAAATATATATATATATATATATATATATATATATATATATATATATATATATATAATTCTCAGAATTAATCTGAAGAAAAAAGTCAATACGTATAAACGAAAAAGACAAAAGGAAAACTATATTTAGTTTTAGCCGTCGCGTTTCGTCCAATGTGGAATTTTCAAAGGTAAAAACAAAATGAATTTATTGAAACAAAATATTTATAAAAAAATCAAAATGTCGTCAGTAACTAGACCAATTTAAAAACGCGATTAATTAATATTCTAGTCACTAACGAAATTTTGACTTTTGTTTATTGATATGTTTCAATAAATGCATTTCGTTTTTGCATTGTGTTCGAATTTCAGTCGAATCCATTACATTCACTTACGTGCTAATACTCTTGGGAAAGGTATGAATCTTCTTCTCTCCCCCCCCCAGCTACCGGTAAATAGCAGGACAGACCAGGTTCTATAGCCTTGTATGGCAACTGGTTTACCGTAAAAAGAAATGGCAACCTACTGTGGGGAAAAAGATCTGCCTCGTCAGTCATGTATCGAAAGATACATGATCGCCTAAGCGTGTATCACGCATGATACATGACATTGTAAAAGTCCACTTTATACGAAACGTGTCAGCTAAAACTACACAGTTTTTCTCGTCTTTTTCCTTTACACACACACACACACACACACACACACACACACACACACACACACACACATATATATATATATATATATATATATATATATATATATATATATATATATATATATATATTACAATGAATCATTCATACAAAAAAGTAAATTAGTAAAGGCATAGAAATTATTTTGTTTTTGGTAAAATTCATGTAGCATCCGAGACGAAAAATATAATACGAATCGAAATATGTTGAAGATGATTGAATGTACTGTCGAAAGTTCTCGCATATTTAAGAAAGACCTTATGTAGCTTATAATTATAAGAGAGAGAGAGAGAGAGAGAGAGAGAGATTGATAATATTAGTGGTCAATATATATATATATATATATATATATAAAGTATATATATATTTCGATTTTCTTTCTTCTCTTAATTATAATGTTATTAATCTATCAGACGTTATGAAAAGAATTTACATAAAATAGACAACACTTGTCTATATTATTTAATGAAACATGCATCAATGAATATATATATATATGTGTGTGTGTGTGTGCGTGTGTGTGTGTGTGTGTGTGTCTCTGTGTGTGTGTGTGTGTATTATGAAAATATTCTTATTATTATAGATTAAAATAAAAACATTTTATATCGCTACACAAAAATTTTCGTGTTTCGGAACTATAATTTTTCTACTTCAGGCGATGGCAGATGACATATGACGAAAATGATTTATCGGGGAAATTTGAAAACAACTCGTTACCTCTTTTAAAAGTTAAAAAAGCGGGGTTGAAAGGTCTAATATCAGAATAAACAAATAATAAGAAATATCTGTTTAATCCAGACATGACCACAAGTTCCAGAGACGGATATGCAATGTATTTGGCCCTGATCTGGCATTTCGTCTGCAGTCGCTCTCTCACAGACGTGCCATCACCTCCCTCTGTCTTTTTTACAAATCCTTTCATGGTAACTGCTCCAATGAGCTGCTTTCGCTGGTTCCCAGACTTCATGCATTTAAGCGTTCTACTAGGCTGGCATCTCGCTCACACTCTTTCACTGTCGAAACTGTTAAATGTAGCCGTCTCTTCTACTCCAATAGCTTCATACCGCGCACTTCTCTCCTTGATAGCTATAATCTCCAACTATTCAAATGTAATGTCAATCGACGTCTCCAGATGCCCTGATCTATCCCCTATCCTTCTCTTCATCCTTTCCTCTATCACTCCTATTTGCTCTCGCTCCAACTCTCTGTAACCCCTTGCGTGCTAGTAGCTTCCCGCCTTGCTTGGGGTGAAACGCTTTAAAAAAAAAGTATATTTCTTAATTCTGGTAACTATTTACACTATTTACATCGTTCGGACTGTTCTTCTGATCATTATTGTCATATTCACCTGTCGGCCGTTGTAAGCTCCGGCCTTCTTCAGGTAATATACTTTGGAATTCCGAACCGAATTCTTTATTTAGTCCTCGGGTGTACATTGTTCTATTTCCACTCCTCTTTCGTGTGTTACGTGTCCTTGGGAATGGAATAAAGTTTACGGTTCGAAATTCCAACGTGTATCAGCTGAAGAAGGCCAGAGCGTACAACAGTCGAAACGTTGTGAATATGAAAATAAAGATGATTATAACAGTCAAAACAATGTAAATAGTGCAACTAAAAAGTGAGATGTAAACCGAATGACCTAGATATTATCATACTGTGAAACCGATCCTGATTTGGTTGGTTGATTTTGTTTAGCGGGATATCAACATATCTATGGATTATTTAATGCCAACATCTAAATATTTCGTAGGCAAATTTATGTTTCTAACTACAAACGTTTTCTACATATTTTTACACTTTCAGGGCAACCGTATGTATTTTAGATATATAGTTTGTAGCTCATAAAATGTATTGGTGATAATATTACTATAAAAATGTATCTTTAATTTTTTGCTGTTGCATTTATGGTTATTTTGCTATAAAATGTATTGTAGGTCATTTCATTATAAAACTATAGTGTTGATTAGTGTTTGGGAGTTTACTATTTTACCCAGAGCTGGGAGGGGTCAGGTTGGACATGGAAACAACAGGGATTGGTGGTTGCATGCTCCTCAAAGCCTGCAATCTTCTGATCAAAAGACTTGTTGCCGGATGTAGTTTACACACACACACACACACACACACACACACACACACACACACACACACACACACACACAAACACACACACAGACACACACACACACACATATATATATATATATATATATATATATATATATATATATATATATAGATATGAATAGAGAATAAAATGAACTAATCTAGCTAGATAGATAGACTAAGATAGCTAGATACTAATAGACCCATAGATAGATAGATAGATAGATAGATAGATAGATAGATATATAGATTAAAATAAGTAGATTAAGAGAGTAAGATAGATAGATTCATAAACTAAGGAAGATAGATTGATAAATAGATTAATAGAATGAGATAGATAGATAGATAGATAGATAGATAGATAGATATTGTTAGACCATGATAGATATTTAGATAGAAAGGTTAATAGACTAAGTTAAATAGATAGATTAATAGACTGACAGACAAACAGACGAAGGTAGATATATTAATACAATAACAAAGAAATATAGATAGATAGATAGATAGATATCAATAGATCATGATAGATATTTAGATAGAAAGGTTAATAGACTAAGTTAAATAGATAGATTAATAGACTGACAGATAAACAGGTGAAGATAGATATATTAATACAATAACAAAGAAATATATATATATATATATATATATATATATATATATATATATATATAGATATATATATATATATATATAGAGAGAGAGATCAACAGACTGAGATAGTAAAAGATAGATAAATTAATAGACTATGATATATATTTTGATATACTAAGGGAGACAGATTGATAAATAGATTAATAGAATAGAATAGAATAGAATAGATAGATAGATAGATAGACTAAGATAGAATTATAGATAGATAGACTGAAGTAGATTAATAGACCAAGATAGATAGATAGATAGATAGATAGATAGATAGATAGACTAAGATAGATATATTAATAGACTAAGATAGAATTTTAGATAGATACAATGAAGTGGTTAAATAGATTACTAGACAAAGATAGCTAGCTAGCTACATAGATATATTAATAGATTAAGATAGAATTATAGATAGACTGAAATAGGTAAATAGATTAATAGACTAAGAAAGCTAGATAGATATAATTTAAATTATACTAAAAACGTGAAACTAGTAGTAAACACTGCTTCGAACAATCGCCTTTTAACTGTTGGTTGCATTAAGCGTCGTTTCATTTTTTCCCGATATATTCATCATAAATGAGAAAACTGCGAGCATCGTGTCTCCCTTCAACATTTGTTTTCATAACCCGAATCTCAGCAACCAACATTGCCTTCGCTTACGACCCGATCCCTGCCCGGCATAATTCGACCTTTGGTTCGATCCTGAGACCCCACAAAGCGGAGGCCAATCAATAGCATTCATTCTTTACCCAGCCCGCTTCTATAGCCTTTCAGGCCATTTTTAGATGTTTTATGACATTTCTTTCTTTTTTCTTTTCTTTCCTTTTTTTTTTAAATCTTAGTTATCGCCTCGACTTCTCGCCCTTTCTCTTTTATTTGGCGCCTTTCGTTTGACCTCCCTCGCAAAAGAAATGAAAATGGCGGCCATACTGAACAGCTTTCAAGAAGAGTGTCGATATGGAGATTAAAAAAAAAAAAAAAAAAAACATCGCGGAGAATATGTTTCTTGGCGGAGAATTGGTTGAATAACGAGAGGAAAGTGAGAGATCAAGAAGTGAAAAGCGAAAGTGTGACTAGGTGAAGGAGGAGCGGGGTAGAGAAGGAAGAGAATAATAAAAAAAAAAGAGACAGAAAATAAAGTAATGGTAACTTGGCAACTACATGAATTATGTAAGAAACCACGTGACTTATGCTACTTTGATTTCCTTTATTCGTTGGCCTGAATCAGGAAAGAAATTGAGGAGAACGCTTGGAAATAGAACGCACTCATGTATAAATTCATAAAGTTATATATACATACACACACACATACACACACACGCACACACGCATATATATATATATATATATATATATATATATATATATATATATATATATATATATTCTGTGTGCGTATCTTTTATCTTTGATAACGTGAAGAAGTACAGAATCCGTTAGCAACTAGAGCTGACAATATAAATATTCTTTAGCTCCTAATTGTCTGGATATATTAAACTGAATATATATATATATATATATATATATATATATATATATTATGAAATAGACAAAGTCCGACATTTATTTTAAGACATTCTTCATGTTTATACATTCTTTTATAGATACAAATATTTAAGTAAATGCTCTGTTTTATAATAAACAGTATTAAACAACATTTACCGACCTGAATGTCTGAGAAATTTTCATAGAAAATATGAGTCTTCCGACAGAAATCGAACCTGTATCTATACGGAACTGTCATATAGCCTGACGTGCCTTTTACCGATTGGGCCACAGAAGTTAGCAAGGTCGATTTTAAGGCAAGTCAGGCTATATGACAGTTCCGTGTGTGTGTGTGTGTATATATATATATATATATATATATATATATATATATATATATATATATATATATATATATATATATATATATATATATATACACGATGACACAACACTCAAAAATATAAGAGTTAAAAATGCTAAACCCATTAGTAATAATAAACATATTAAGTTCATCATATATTATAAAAAATTAAAACAATTCACCTCATAGTTTTCCTGTAATCCTACAACCACAAAACTAAATCCTCCACAAAAACACTAATGCAGTGTATCAATTTACATGCCCGTTCAGAGATTGTATCTCTGATACTAATAATATATAATATTATTACATATATTGGTTTTACTACAACCACCCTCTCCCGTAGACTTACCTGTCACATTTCTGATCTTAGTTCTATTAAGCAACACTTCTTAGAAAAACATAATCATGTATATAATATTAGAGAGATATTAGTTGATAACAGAACAATACTCACACATACACACAGTAAAAAGAACCTTCGGGTATTGGAGGCCATCTAAAAGCAACCCACAATCAACAAAATTACATTTCAAACCAGTCACAACACATTACATTGCATCTAGATAGATGGTTCCGCATAACCACTTGGAAGTTTACAATTTGTGTCTTTATTTTCACCAGAAATTAAAGAAAATATACAGAGTTTTGAACGGCTCATGATCAAACATAATAGATATTCACTGTCTGTTATATTTAACAATATATGCTTAAATAATGCTCTGCTGTTCCAATACACTATATATATATATATAAAAGAAATATGTTGTAGTGGTTCCAACGAGAGAAAAGTATGTATATTAAAAAAGAGAAGAGGTGCCGCAAACGTTTTGGTTGTAATGTGGATTTATTTAGAAAAAATATTATGCTTTGTTTTACATAATTTTACGACACGTGTTTCTGGTCTCGCGACCCTCTTCAGGTAAAAAGCGGAGATTTCCACATATTATTAAAGATAATTAATTTTTCCTTATGTTCAATGTTAAATATTGTCGATATGAGACAATCTATCTTGCTAAAATAAGTAAATGGGGTGGATGTAACTGTCCATCGCATTTAGAAAATTAAATTTAGATATTTCCTTAGATTTTTGTATTCGTTTTCTATTTTATTTATTTCAAATATATATATATATACACTACCTATCATATTAGATATAAAATAATTGCTCCTTAGAATGTAAATTTTTTCTATATATAAAAAAAACCTTTACTTTAGCTTCTGTCTGCACATTTAAGAGGGAAACCACTTCATCAAACGCAGATATAAATAAATGACAGCAATTTATATGAAATATCCGGAATTTTCAAAGCTCAAATTTCTGGTCACATTGAGAGTTTAAAGATTTTAAATTGGTTGTAAAGGTTTAAACATTTCTATTTATTGTAAAATTTATTTTACGGATAAAGTAAGGTTCGTTGAAGATCGACACTGATACAAGTTGGATAAAATGAATTTGTGGAAGTTATCTTATCTGTATCCTGCATCGATTTAGAAATTGCAAAAAATGACCTTTCTCAAGCTAGAAATCTTTAGGCATATAGCAGAAAGGAAGTGTCGAAAGGTACAAGATGTTAGGCTCTAAATCAAATGGCAAAACACGACAGACAAAACTTTAGACCTTCTTTAAAAGACATTTACAAGCAAGATCGACTCAAATGAGCAACAGAATACATGAAAACCAAATGTTCAACATTTTTTTCCGGAAAATGCTGCTGCTATATCGGAGGGGCCAGATTGATAGAATAATATCTGAGTGGCTTGTGGCTTAAACATCTCACCACAAGTGGAGACGTCTAAAAAGCCAATCTGATTGTGATGTTTAACACCGTGATTATAGGTGGCGAAATGGTGGGTTCTTGGTGAGTTTCTGATGGTGTTAAGATGAGAGTTAAGACATACGTACTTTTGCCGCCACACATGAAGCTTCAAAGAAATCAAACGCTTTAGAGAACAGTATTTTTATATAGTACAATGCTTATTAATATTCGGCGAAGAAAATTAATGACTATTTGAATAAGATAAGTTTCAAATATATTCATTGGATGAAGTAATCAATTTATTTATTCGCCCGTCCTAAGCCCAATGAAAACTTGTAGAGAATTTTGAAAGGCGAGATTTACATTGGTTGATGGCAAGTTACCTTCGTAGATGAGCTTTGGAAAGCTATTCTGGTGGCAGTGCAAGCTGTTTTATCTGAAGAAATAATGAATAAAGAGGAATGGTTGAACAACTACTAAAATTTTTGTGAGAACTTGGAGCAAACATTTCACATTAATGATATTTTAATAATTTTGCTTTCATTAAAATGACAATTGTTTTAAAATATTTGCGTGAAATTATTTCGTAATTTCTGTAATTATGATTCTTACAGCCTAATCATTCTTAGGCTCATAATGTGAAATTTGGAAAATCCGGTAAAATTCATGATATTGTTATTACATCTTAAGAGTAATCTATAGTCTAATATAATTTATACATATTACTTAAAATATCTTGTTTTAATGTAACAAATATTTACATGAATGCCTTCATTCGTCAATTAAGAATGAAAAATAATGTCAAACGCAATATATATATATATATATATATATATATATATATATATATATATATTGTCACCCACAGACAGACTGTATATATATGGGACAACGACATATAATTTTTTATATATCAAGATCAATTTTACGAGAAAGATGTAAAGTTTTCGTGTGTCGCCTTTTGTCCTTTTGGACTTCATCAGACGAAGTTTTTTATTTACATTGATGCGACTACACATTAGGGCAGAGGTTGATTTTTAATTTTTTAGAAAATCAACCTTGGACTCGATAAAAAAGCTGAGATTTGATAAGTACTGACACTAAAAATAGATTCATAGCTTTTACTAAATTTGAGCATTTAATTTTAATGATCGCCTGAAAAGTGTACAGAAGTACCTAATTTCTGCAGGTTTTTGCTTACAGGCTGCTTCATAATTTTTCTATTTCAAGAATAAGTTCAAATGAAGTTGATATTTTTTTTACATTGGATACATTGAATGGAAAACATATTCAAACCAGAATTCTAATTATGAACCACCACAAGCAAAATATGAAATTATTGATTGTATTCTATGGGTAAAAACTATATAAAAATTGTAAAAGTTTACAAAAAAGGCTAATCAATAAATAAGATCTTAAACCATTTGTTAGGTTATAATTAATAGAAAAAATAGATGAATGTGTACATAACACCATAAGAGAAAACTTTTAAAATTTGTATTGTTTATTGAAAATCGCACTAAAACTACTGCACTGTATAACATATTACATCACAATGTAATTAAATTGTTCGGTATAATTTCCCTTTGAAGTAAATGAGTCTTATTTGATGGCACAATGATTTAGGAATAATGTGCCTTGCTTCTTGTCCATATACAATTTGTGAAGTTACAGTAGTTAATTTAACTACTCTTTCCACAGCTTGAAATTGTTCATGTAAAATTAGGCAATTCAACGTTGTTTCATTCATTAGAACTACTTGCAGTTCATTATTCGTAAAACCTGCAAGCGCAGGTTCACAAATTCCATTTTAGAGAGTTTAGTCAAATTTGACCAGTATGTCGCTTCAGAGTTGATAAACGTATTTTTAATCCATTCTTTCGTAGATCACTACTTCTGGAATGAAAAAAAAATATGGGTTATAACCTCTTCCCTCACCTCCAATTCATCTGACTTCAGTATTGAGAAAATAATATTTTTGGAAGTAAGGCGAAACATTGTACTGTAAATTTTTTAATGCGATATTTTTGCATTTCGGTTGACAGGATTTATTCTCTGGATCATATTGAAGATATAGGGTTCTTGGCTGTGGAATTTATTATCCCTTTATTTTAAAAAACCAACTCACTGCATATATTTCAATTATAAATTTTATAAAGGATTTCACTGATTACCGGAATGAAATTTCAACGCTCTATTTTTATCCTAAACTTAATCTTTAAACTAGTTTCCTCAAAAAACCCATAATGATTTGGAAAATATTTTGTCATATCCCAACTTTCAAAGTGTAATACCACACTTTCAAAATTGGCATGACCTACTACACCTTCACAAACGAGAGACACTGAGAATTTTAAATTTAAAGATGATTTTTATTCATGTATTTTTGGGTATATAATCTACCCAATTTCATTTATATTCATATTCTTTTTTCCATCACTTGTTATTAAATATCTCACAGTAAAACGTTGTAAAAATTTGGACACAAATTTATTGTGGAAGATCTAGTGATGAAAGTACTTTCTAAACACTTTCGTCTTAGTGAATTGTTTTCTCTTTTTATTATAACGGCATTTTTTTATACCGAAATTGTGGTCAGTCTCGTTATGGTGAGCAACGAATACATTTAATGTGTTGTTTTGTAAAAGATGCCTTTTGTATTCATATATTTTTTATTTAAATTCCTTGAGGTTACTCCGATGTATTCCTCGTAGCAATTATTACAGGTAATAGAGTAAATTCCTCCTTCAAGTTTTAGCTTAGTGTTTTGCTTTGTATTTATTAAGTCTCTTATTGTGTATATATATAGAACAATATATTTTTGATTAGTTGGGTTTGTCAGGAAGGGCCCTTTTCTATTTTGGAATATTTGCCATTGATTATGAAATAGGATATTGAAGGAGCTAGAAAGTATTTTCAATGTATTTCCTCTTCATGGCTGCAAATTCCGAGTGCTGTTAAGTAGAATCAATGATTATTCGGAATATTATATTGTTGCTATGATGGGATTAGAAATTCATGAGATAATTTTTAGATGATTTTTGGTCGATACTAACTTTTTAAGCTACTGTTGACGCTGTGTAGCATTATATTTAGGGAAGGTAAAGTTTAAAGTGTTGCTTTTCACATTTAATATGTAAATTCTATTGTATGTTCGGCTTTGTTTAGTTTATCTACAAGATCAGGTAAACCAGTATCAGAAGGAAATATTAATAGAGCATCATCAATATATCGGAAGTATGTTAATTGTTTGGGTAAAATATTTTGGAAAGGACCAGATTCGAGAAATTAAAATATATATATATATATATATATATATATATATATATATATATATATATATATATATATATATATACAGTGGGGGAATAAATATTCGTACACATGAAAAATTGGATTTTTTATAAATGTAAAAGCCTTAACTAAAACAACTTTTGATACATTTTATGTGTAAAGATACATTTTATTAAAAAATAGTAATAAACTTAATTCTTATTCTAACAGAAATTAATGCATTTTTTTCATTTTAACTGATGAAAAAAGTATTCGTACAAAACAAAAAAAGCATATTAACTAAATGTAATACTTTGTGGAATATCCTTTATTGAATTCAACAGCTACCAGTCTATTCCTGTATGTCTCAATTAATGATTTGCACACATTGAGTGGTATTTTGTCCCATTCTTCTTGGCATATTGTCTTCAAATTCTTGATATTTGTTGGTGCTCTTTTCCCAATATGAATTTTCAAATATCGCCATAAATTCTCGATTGGGTTCAAGTCTGGAGACTGACTTGGCCATTGCAAGACATCAACGTTACTTTCACTTAACCATTTCCTTGTAGATCTAGCGGTATGTTTAGGATCATTATCCAGTTGGAAAACCCAATCAGGAGGTAGCCGAAGTCTCTCACCAGAACGCATTAAATTGTCTTGCAGGATTTTCTGGTATCTTTCGGCATTCATCTTGCCATCTATTATTGATATTTTGCCAACACCTTTTGCAGAAAAACAGCCCCAGATCATGATACTGCCACCGCCAAACTTTACAGTTGGCAACATGTTCTTTGGTAAGTAGGCTTCACCCTCCTTCCTCCACACATAATTTCGATAATTATGACAAAACAACTATTTTAGTTTCATCTGTCCATCGTACATTTTCCTAATACGAATATTCTTTATCCTTATACTCTCTAACTAATTGTAGCCTAGCATCTCTGTGTCGTTTCAAGAGGAGTGGAGTCTTCCTTGGGATGCGTGATTTCAGTCTGTTTTGTGTAGTTCATTCCTTATTGTACGCTTGGTTACTTTAATTCCTAATGCACGCAGATGTTCCTGCAGCTCTTCTCGGGTAACCTGTGGATTTTGTTGGATCTGGTGTCCTAATATCCTTGCTGATCTTAGAGAAATCTTCCTCGGACCACCTGTTCGTCTTTGGTTTTCGACGCTGTTACGAGTTTTAAACCTTGAAATGAAAGAAGCAATTGTAGTAAAAGGAATAATCAGGTTGTTAGAAATAGTTCTGTAACTGTTCCCATCTTTCCAAAGAGACAAAATGTTTTTTTTGTGAAATAGTCAATTCTTTATCTTTAGGCATTATTAGAACCTTCTCGTAATACTAGAAATTGCAGAATGCTTTGATAATGGCTAATAGCGTTAACTATAATTACTGATAACATTATTGGAACATTCTAGAATATATTTTTTTCATAATTGATTATTTTATTCTAATAATTGATTTGTACGAATAATTTTTCACCAGATAGAAATTAAAAATGCATTAATTTCTGTTAGAATAAGAATTAATTAAGTTTATAACTATTTTTTAATAGTATGTGTCTTTATACATAAAATGTGCCGACATTTACATTTTTATTTAAGTGCAAATATTTATTTTTTACTATATATATATATATATATATATATATTTATCTATCTATATATCTATATCTATCTATCTATCTATCTATCTATCTATCTATCTATATATATATATATATATATATATATATATATATATATATGGTGTCTTAACGATTGCGTCTAGCATGAAACAGCCTGTCGTTTCTAAGTGTTGACTTCAATGTCCAAATTTTTATATTTACACACCTCTTTCTCTGATATTGAGCAATTTATCTCATAAATATAGCACATTGTAAGACTATATAACTTTTATATATATATATATATATATATATATATATATATATATATATATATATGAGAAACGCGAAGCCGAAAAACACATAGGGAAGGACACTGTAGACTGGCAGAAAGAAACCAACATTTAGCAAGGATTCTTTTTCGTCATCTCTACAGACGGCGTAAAAGAAATCTTGAAGCCAAATGAAATGACGAAGGGAGGGAATAGAGAGGACAAAGTAAGAAAGCCTCGAGTTTTTAAAAACAAAATATAAAAGGACTTTAGACAGAAGAAGCAAAAAAATAAGAGAGAGAAGGGAAAAAGAAGCTATAAGTATGTTTAAGAAGAAAGAGAGTAAAGAAAATAGAAATAATATTTGCGACATTGACTGATAGAAAAAAGCAAATCAATGAAATAATGAAAGTTATAAAACATAGTACCAAAAACGAAGAAAAGCAACAGAAGAAAAAAAATCCCTAAAGAAAGACATAAAAAAAGGTATTATAAGAAGTCAAACAATAACACCAAGGAGCTCAGTGGCGCCCAAATCTCAGGTCATGTGATCAATTGTTTTGCAAGAAAAGGCGGGCATTGGAGTTTGAATGCGAATGCCGGTCTTCAATGTATCTTTGAGAAACAGAGATAGGTGCGGGGCAGGACAGGGTGGCTGATGAGGTTTGGTTCTTTAGGGTCAAAAGAATAGAATAGAGAATGGTCATTTGTTGGGTATTGGGGCCAAGTGCCGACATTGTGATGAGCCAATTATCTTGAGGAACAGAAATGGCGCAAAGTTCAGTCAACCATGAAGGAACCAACGCCACCAAATCCAACCGTTGATCTTTTCACTGATTTCTTTATATTTTTTCGAGCAAGAATGTTCAGCCTTTTATCTTCTGATCTATCCGCGTCTTAGGACATTAATGGGCTTCCTCTTTTCTTTTCTCAACTCTTTGTCTTTTCTGAGACTGTCTTTTCAGTTAGCACATCATTTTCAGTCTTTTTTCAATCTCGATGGGCATTGATAATAACGGTTAAGTATTTACAGGCAGAGATGCATGCAGATAGATAGATAGATAGATAGATAGACTGAACAAGATAGATGTAATGACTGAACTACATAGATAGATAGATAGATAGATAGATAGATAGATAAACTGACTGAACTAGATAGATATGAACAGCATGAACAAGACAGATAGATATACAGACAGAACTAGATAGATAAACAGTTAGCTGTACAGACTGAAATAGATAGATACATAGATAGATAGATGAACAGACTAAACTAGATAGATAGATATGACCAGCATGAACTAGATAGATAGATAGATAGATGGATAGATAGATAGGCGAAGAGACTGAACGAGATAGATAGATAGATAGATAGATAGATAGATAAACTAAACTAGATAGATAGATGTGAACATCATGAACTAAATAGATGTACAGACAACGAGATAGATAGATAGATAGATAGATAGATAGATAGATAGATATACAGACAGAACTAGATAGATAGATAGATTAACTGAACTAGATAGATTTGAACAGCATGAAATAATAGATGAACTGACAACGAGATAGATTGATATACAGACTGAACTAGATAGATAGATATAATGATTGAACTAGATAGATAGACAGATTGATAGATAGATGTACAGACTTAACTAGATAGATAGATAGATCGATCGATAGATAGATAGATTAACTGAACTAGATTTGAACAGCATGAACTAAATAGATGAACAGACAACGAGATAGATAGATAGATAGATAGATAGATAGATAGATAGATATGAAACATATAGATACCAGGAGTTCGTGGCCCAACCAAGTAATTATTCAGAAAATACATATTTTAACGTATTTTTAATAGTTGGTCGTGCTGAGCATTACTTTAGAATATATATATATATATATATATATATAATATTTTTTTTGTTTAAAAATATGATTCCTTCGGTACATAAGAGTTCTCATGTTTAAAAAACGAGAGCCAAAACCATCCAAATAATTATTAAAATTAAGTTGAATTAAGGTATTTAGTCCCGTTTCATCTTCAAGCGAAATTTTAGGAATAAGCTATCTCTCGGTTTACGTGTGTTTTTAAACATGGTTCGTTATAACATTCGTTATTGTGGGAGTGGCTAGGCGAGTCACCTTCGTTAAGTGGTCAGAGAGTTAATTCTTATCTATAGATTCATCATCTTCTGAGAGGTTTTGCTCAGGTTGGGTAGGGTATCTATTTCAAGGCTAATGTTGGCGGTCATCCTCTAGTTAGTTCCCTGTGAGGGATATTTTTATGGCGCGCCTACAAGTCGTTATGTGTCGGGAGGATTTTGTTTTATTATTGTCCATCTGATTATCTATTTATTTATTTGTTTATTCAAGTGGGTGTTTTATATACAAACCGTATTGCACTGAATTTCAATTTGTTTTTTGACGACTACAGAAAGGGTTTTTCCTATTTAATGATTTGGCTAAATTTTTAAGACTTTTATTAAACTATGGATTTTTTTTATGCTAATTATTTAATGCGGAAATTTGTTGATGTCGGCAAAAACCGTTAACTCCTGCCTATGGTTTAATAATTTTTCATTATTTAGAAACTTAATGATGTGTAGTTTTTCGTGTAGGCATAAAGGCCATGGGTCATCCCAGGTTTGACAAGTTCTTGTTCTATTTACTATTTTCCATTTTACTTTTGGTGTTTTATTCGTTTCTTTTAGATGCCAGAAATATTGGGATAGAGATGTCTGATTTCTATTTTGAATATTGTTGAAGGAGCTCTTGTGTTGCCTCCATCTAATTTTAAATTTATTCTTGGTTGACCCTATGTATATCCTATCAGTGTTAGGACTCTCAGTGGATGAGATAGTGCATTGGTATACCACGGATTTTGTGAGGCATTTATTTTCCAACGGGCAGTCTTTAGGGTTTCTACAATCACATAATTTTTCGTTATTTTTATCTAATTTTAATTTATGAGTTTTATTACTGGTTTGGTTTGCGTGTTTTTCTAGGATTTTCTTATTATGTCTTTTTATGATTCTTTCTAGATTTTCAGTGCAGCTGTAACTCAATTTTAAGGTGTTTTTGTTAAAGATGTCGCTAAGTTTGCTATTAGTGGGAAAGTGCTTTTCAATTAAAGCTAGGAACTTATGGCCTAGTTTGGTGCTGACCATTTGGTTGTACGGAGGGGTATACCAGATGATCTTTCTTTTCCTGTTTTTCTTATTATTGGTACTATCGTTTCTATAGGTTATGTCAGCGTTTTTGTATCCGCTATTTTTCAGGGCTGTGCTCTAAAAACTACTGTGTTCGTTAAGTTTAGGGTTACGTTTAGGAAGTTTACTCTTTTTAATTCAGTGTTGACTATTGTTTTTAAATTTAGTTTTCTGAATTCATTGTAAATTATCTTTCTAATTTTCTCTGTTTTAAAATTTGTGAAGCTCCTCACTACCATGAGCCCGTCATCTCTGTATAGCCCGATGTCCCTAATGTCTAGTTCACGATGGGTGGTTAGATTGTACAGCATAAATAGACCGACAAGGTCCGAAGATTCTGCAGAGTCTAGAGATCCCATGGTGATGTCAAAATTGTCATTAGTGTTTTTAATCCACTGGTCCCCATTATGGATGAGGACAGATTTCTTTGCACTGAGAATTATGTTTATTTCTTCCTTAATTAAGTCAGAATACACTGTAGCAAACTCCAGGGCAGTCGTGAAGAGGTCTTTTGATATTGACTGGTAGTAATCGACAATATCGAACTGAATTAGGGTGCACTCGGGCTTATTGTCGATGTTGGTAAACCAGTTTATGACTTCTTTGGTGTTAATCTAGAGTGTTAATCCAAGGTGTTTTTTAATTTGGCTAGTGATCCTTTCCAGGATTTTTTTTTTTTGCTTATCTTTCCTATGTCGAATCTAGTAGGGTTTATCATTCTGGTAGTGGGGTCTTCCTCAAATCCATATTTGTGGTCCTTAAGAGTGATGTAGCACTCCTTTTCGGCCAGTTTGCCAACTCTATCACTTATTTTTAATTTTTCAGTAATCATTTTACTAGTTCTGTTGATACTGTCAACCATATTTATATTGTCATTCTGGGCTTTTTTATAAGTCTTAGTTAAATTTTTACTAATTAATTTGTTGTAGTCGTCAGCCGTCAATTTGTAGAAGTTTCCCGTTTTATCGGATTTAACTAGTATTTTAACGCTGTCGTTTATGGTTTTGACTATTTGGTCTAGACGCTTCTAGAAGTTGCTTTTCTTTTTTTTGAAAGGAAATATTATTGATTATATTGAGTAGCTCCTTTTCGAATTCCTGTAGTTTTTGTTGTATGGTGCTACTTTCTTGCTTTTAAGTTCGTAAACATCATGCTCTTTTTTTGTTAGGTTATTCCCTCGTAGGAAGAAGAATGCTTTCCATCTCATTCTTCTTATTAATTCCTCTGTTTTTAGCAAAAGTTTGATAATATAAGCTCTGCTTTTGTATGGAGCACTGTCTTCTTAAAAATAAAAACAAAAATACTAAGGAACTCCGGATTATGCACCCAACGTGTTCTTTTCTATTTTCTGCATACCTGCGCACTTTTATATATATATATATATATATATATATATATATATATATACATCTGTGTGTGTGTGTGTGTGTGTGTGTGTATGTTCCAATCGATTTCGGCCACAGCTTTAGCCATTTTCAAAGGTGTTTGTTTTAAGTGTTGTTAATTCCTCTTCATGTTTTGTTTGCTTAAGATGTATTTTTTTGTGTTGTTTTGAATACTAGTAGAAGCGTTTATTCCGAACATTTGCTTATTCAAAGCGGCTGGAATAAAAAAAAACTCTAGGCGCGCCATTTCCACTGTTGAATAAGGTGAGTTTGATAGTGGGAGCGAGACGTTATATATACAGTTCCTTACTAACAGCGAGATGTTTCCGGTAATGTAATTTGTATAGAACTTGTGTGTTTTGTGACTTGTAGGTAATTAGCTTTTTTTTATAGCTCTTTGACCAGATAGTTGACAGGTGGAGCTCAACTCAAGTTAGTATGTTTGATATAGACAATTGATGTATACAAGAAATACAGTCTTGTACTGGGCATTGAAATTGATACACTATATTGGTCATCGCTAGTTTAGATTTGATGGAATTTTGATTAGTGGCAACAAGATTTGGGGTTTTCCGTTTGACATGTTTTTCGGGATTTACCACAGAAATAAGGTGTTTAATTATTCTTCGTTTTTCGAATTCGTCCTACTTATAATAATTGTGAAGTGAAATATATTGATGTTTTGTTATGTGGCATTTTTATTCGTTGTGTCATGTATTTTTTGAAAGAATAATTTTATTTCTTTCTCAATGATAGAGTTGAAATAATTATTGTTGACTAATGTTTGTTTTATGTGTTTTAGTTCACTCAGAAATATTCTTTGGAAAGAGGAATTTAGGTGTGCCCTATTTAAGAAGTTTTTTATCACTGCTATTTTATATCTTTTGGCTATCATAATTTTTGTGACGTACGGTGGATATAACTCAAGACTTTAATGTTAAGCTAAAATAGTATTTAATTACAACCTCTTATAGAGTACGAAAAGTTTTTCTTCTCCGTATGAGAACGAATCCCTCGTCGCCAAGTTGTTATAGAGAAGTTTCACAGTGGAAGCTTCTATTTCACTAAGTCGGTCCTAAAATAGGTTCGATGTACAAAACGTTAGGAACTTGATATAATAGTTAATGACGCAGAGAAATCTAGTGGTGGTCGCTGATACTTTTAGTATCCGACTAACGGTCGTCTGACATCGATTGACTCCCCAACTACTGAGCGACTGGCGACTGCTACTACTCCTAATTATTATAGGTGGGAGAGTCTATTAACAATAGAATAGGTGTGTTTCACTATAACACAACCTCAAATAAATATTTAAGAACAAAGAAGCAAATGTCAATCAAAAATAATTAACCATTTCAGTGAATACCTTGTTAGTAGCGCGGCTCGGTTTAACTTCCGATAAATCCTAAATCAAAACCCAAATCAATAATTCACACTAATTCGACTGGATAGTTCCACTCAATAAGTCACCCAAGTCAGTAGGCTGACACCACTATTTATACGCCTGGTGGAAAACATATATTCATAAGTTCAGAATGTCACGCTCGAACCTCGGCGTTGGTAGTTACTCATTTTCTTCCTATATAACAATAGCTTAGAAGATAAGAGATCGTGCTGATGTTTTTTTTTACGAGTAGGTGGAAAATAATTTAGATTTTAGTTCTATATTGACATCAAGGAATGTGATTTTGTTATTTAGTTCGTAAGTAAATTTTAGTGTTGAGTTTATTCGAATGGTTTTAAATTGATATTTTCGTCTTTATTTTTTATTGAAAATGTCGTCAACATAACTTGTGTCGATTTGTGATTTGTCAGCTGTTTTAAACACTTTATTTTCAATATGAGACATAATGGGTTTCCCACGCTGACGTTATACATATATATATATATATGACCTCCCCCCCCTCTCTCTCTCTATCTATCTATCTATATATATATATATATATATATATATATCTGTGTATGTGATATAAATTATTAGGAGGATTTGAGATAATAATAATTATGTAATTCATCGAGTCTAAAAGAATCCTCATCAGAATGCACTGAACGTCAGTTTCATCCTATATGTGGGACTCATAAGCAGTATGCATCCACTCCCGAGTTTCGAACCCGAACCGTTTCGATACAACGCAAGCGTCATACCAACTGTACCAACAGACCAAGGTGGCGAAGAAGGAACTGAATAGACTCAATATAGCTACTCACAAATTCCGTGGTGATACTCATCCAAATATTCATCG